TTTTACTGTTATTCATTATTATTATAGTATCTATTCAATAATCCTGTATAATTTTTCAATTAATAAGAATTAAACACCTGTCCAGAAGTAACACCTTTACGAACTCGTAATTTAACAATATCACCGGTACGTTGCAATAAACGCATTGCTTCCTCAACAGTACATGATTCCAATAGAATATTATCAACTGCTAAAATACGATCACCACTATGAAGAGATCCACAACTGAAATATTTCATATAAATTAATTAAATTTTTTTTCTTCTTTTTTTCATATTTTATTTAAAATTTTTTAAATTAACCGATAAGCAACGCTTCCAACTTGTACATCTGATATGATAACTGGTTCACCCTTCGTATTTTCTGCTTCACTTCTAACCACAATACCAAGATTATTTCCTCTTTTTGCTAATTTCACATCAAAAACTCCATCAAATGGTAAAGCACTTTCTGTAATTAACAATATTTCATCAATTAATGATGAGATCAATCAGTAATTATGAGAAAAATTGCTGTATATTGTGATGACAAATTTTGCAATTTGAAATTATGTTTTTGAAAAAAAAAAGGAATTTATAGTGAAAAAGGAGCATAAGAAGATAGTTTAATTGCTAAAATTTATCTGTATAATTCCACATTAAATAATTAATATTCAATTAGTAGCTAATTTTACATCAAAATTTCAATTAAAAAAAAGTTAACCATAACATTATAAAGGAATTCCCACAGAAAAAATAGGATACGAATTAAAATGTTAACTTATAATTTCCAAAAAAAAAAGGATTGAATCGGACAAGAATTTATGAAATCGTATATTAAAGAATTGTCTTACAGATAAAAATTTGTTACAAATGAAAATTTAAAAATTTAATTGAACTTAAAATGTGTGGAAATGTAAAAAGTAAAGAGATAACAAATTAACTTTATACAAAAAATAGCTTATAAAGTTTAAAATCCAATACAAATTCATATTTAGCAACATTGAAAAATTTACCAATTACATCAAATTCAACGAATAATTTCAACGGGCTTGTCGCTTGCCTTAGTATTTGATTTCCTTCTTCAGCGGTACCATTTATGCTACTCCAATCATTGATAGCAATGATACGATCACCAACTTGTAATACTCCACTTCTAAATTATAAAAAATTAAGAAATTAATGAATTAAAAAATTTTCTAAAATAATGATGAAGATTATTCATGATTTGTCCTTTAAATTTACTAATTTATGGACGATAAATGATTAAATGAAAGAGATAATGATGAAAAAATGTTTTAATTTAGCAAACTTTCTCATTTTACTTTTGTCCTTTTTCTTTTTTTTACAAATATTTTTTTTACAAATGTACATATATTTTCATGCAAAGTTCAAATGAGTATACTTTAGAAAATAATAACCTAGTGAATAATTTGGAAAATAATTTATGATTTCTTTGTGTTTTTGTATAAAATTGTTACTCCCATTATAGTTTCATTCAACAAATCAATGATTTAATCTCCTAACTATTAAAAATTTCATTTTTTTTTTAAAAAAAAAACTTTTTTCAAATTTTCAAATTTTTTAAAATTTATATGTCTAATAAAGTATTATGCATGAAAAGAATGAAATGAAGAGGATACCTCTCAGCAGGTGAATTTTTTTCCATATATGAAATGAAAAGTGGTCGACGTTTTGGTTGAGATAAATGCGATTTTGAAATTTGATCATGTACAACTAAACCGAATGATCCACGTGCATAACTATGCAACGTTACTTCCATCCTTTCCTGATGACATATCCGTCCACACGGAACACGTGACATTGTCCCCTCTACAGAAGCTACAAAAAAAAAAAGAAAGTTAATTTTTATTCTAGCAAATAAATGGTATTTATATAAAATTATAGTGCTTACTATATGTTATACTGTGTTACATAGTTTTTCGAAAGTAAAGATGCCTTTTAAAAAATGTAAAATCATATCAATTAATTGAATTGAATTAAATCATTAAGAATTAATTGTAAATATGTATGTTATGCAAAAATATCACTCATTTGCAAAATTTTTAAAAAAAAAAATTGTTTAAATTATGCAATTTTTGTTTGGCTACTTGTTTTTCCTTCATAAAACTGAACTTTATGAAATTTTGACAATAAATCGTCTTTTATTGTTTTCATAATTTTTTGGTTTTTTTCTTTGAAGAGATCTGAAGCAAAAAAAAAAAACATAAAGAGAATTGATTATTGAAATTTTTTAAATCATTTTAGCTTCCTATGAAATAATAATTCGGGAAATTATGACGAAAATTAGGAATGAATAAAAATATTGAGATAATTAAGTGCTAAATCAATGGTAAATCAGATAAACAATTGATTGATTAATTAAATGCCTCCTTTGTCTTCTTCCCTGATTTTCCTCCCACTATCCATAAATTATTACAAAAATTAAATAATTTGAAATTACTAACAGATGAAAGTATCAAAAAGTAAATTTGAAGCTAACAAAACAACATTTTTCGAAAAACATCAAAAAAATTTGACAGAATGCAAAGTATAGGAATTTCAAAAAATACATTTAAAATTTTGATGTTTGGTAATTACATTCTTTTTCTAGAAATCAAAATGATGCAAAAGGAGTTTTTTTCGGGTTAAAATATCAAACTGTAAATTTAGTCCATACAGACCAAAGCTTTTATATGTTTACTTTAAGGACAATATTTCATAGCGATTAGATACTTCCTCGAAATGATTAACTGATTTTATGGCTGATAGGCCAAATATAGGCATGCGAAAACAATAATATTCTGTGTTAAACTATTCCATTTAATCTATCCATTAATTATTAGTTAGTTCGAATGATACAAAGTCCTTTGTTTCTAAAATTGCTAATAAAGTTGCATTGTTTTTCGAAAGTAAAGATGCCTTTTAAAAAATGTAAAATCATATCAATTAATTGAATTGAATTAAATCATTAAGAATTAATTGTAAATATGTATGTTATGCAAAAATATCACTCATTTGCAAAATTTTTAAAAAAAAAAATTGTTTAAATTATGCAATTTTTGTTTGGCTACTTGTTTTTCCTTCATAAAACTGAACTTTATGAAATTTTGACAATAAATTCTATGATCGTAATAGGCGGCTTATTTAGCTCAAAATTTTTTAGTTTATTTAACGAACATTTTTAAAAGATATTTTTCATTTTAGTTCTTATGACAATCCATCATTCTGTTTATTCATAGTTAAATTCCTAAGAAAAAAAATTTTTTTTTCTTTTCCTAATAAAGTATATGCATAATATTTTTTAAATTTTACGAACTTCTTAAATTTCGTTCTTAACAACATTTCAATCTATTGACTTTTTTTGTTCCATCTTTTTTTAATGATAAGAATTTTAAAGGAAGCCAGGTGATTTTCAATTGAGAAAAAATTGTTAACATTTATCTATGAAATAATCAAAAGCGAATACTAAAATTTGAAGAAGAATGATTACAACAACTAAGCTAATTTACGATATTTAATTATGATTTGTTTTAGAAACTTTTTTCTCTGAACCAAATTAATCATCCATATGTGATATTAAATGTCGTTTAATTGATTAATAAAAAATTAATAACAATAATTTTTCAAAGTGATGATTAATGATAATTAGAATAAGAGTAGTAGTAATAATAATAATTTACAATAACAATAATAAATGATAACAAATAACAATAACAAATAATAATAATGATAATAAATAAACAAATAAATAATTAAGTTAAATTAATGTATTGCATAAAATTTATCAATTGATTAAAATATTCATGAAACATATCTGAAATTTAATATATTTGCTTCCAATCAATCAATATATTTGTTTCATAATTTCAATAACATTATACTAAAACGAATAAGTGAAATGTATCAATCATTTCAACTTCGATTGCAAAGCTAAATCATAGATGTCGATCAAATGAAATAATGAAGTATTGACATGGAACGCTAATTAATTCCGAGAAACTTCAAATTTATCATTGCAGGATTGAATAGCAAAGGATAGGTTGTAATTTGAAGAAATAATTACGAAAAAACTAATCCAATGAATGAATTGATAAACAATAAATCATATAAATGTTGTAACTTTAGCGTTGAACAGGCTTTCCTAATTTTTTTTTTTTTGCTATTCTTAAAAAAGAAAAAAAGAGCTAAAATTTGATCTTATAAATTTTGGAAAAAAAAACGATCAAATTAAACAAAATGTCATTATTTTGTAAAATAAAATTTAATGCAATAAATCAATAGATATTTAATAAATTTACTAGAAGAAAAAAAACAGCATCCATTTTATTCTCATTCCAATGCATAATTCATAATTTCAAATTTTTAAAAATTATCAAATAATATTCCATTTAGTATTTCGATGCATATTATACATATGCAATGATAAAAGATTTAGTTTTACAGGAAGAAGAAAGCATTTTGAAAGAGAATATGGATATTATGATGGGTAGATTTTATGAAAATTGATATGCTTCGGTATACAAATGGGATGAACAATGAAGAATAAAAGATCTTTGCTGCTTTAAATTCCATTTCTAAACTTCTCATTATTGCGTGAATTATTTAACTATTTCTATCTCTCTTTCATCTTCTTTTCCTCCTCTTCCTCAACATTTATCTTATCCTCTTCTTTATTTTCCTTTCTTAGCAATTATAAAAATAACAAAAGAAGGAAGGAGAAGAGGAGGAAAAAAAAAAACTTTGTCATATATTGCATAATTTATCAGTGGTTAAGGAAAATTAGCTGTCAAAATTTTTGAAGAAGGAAATTAGTTAGCTACGAAAATGATTAATTCATTTTAGCACTTGACTTGAAATGATCGATTAATTAGTGATTTCTATTAAAATCATTAATTTTTTTTTTATGAAATTAAGTTGAAATTTTTTGAACAAATATAAGTTAATAAATGCATGGAAAAAAGAAAAGAAATGGAAAGAGAGAAAGGATTAAAAATTATCAAATTTTAATTGAAATATTTCATTTTCTATACATTGAACTACAAGTATAACAATATGAATTCTGTCTTTAAGTTATATTATATGTATCTTATCTTCAACATTTTGCATTTCATCTATGATTGATAGATTTGGTTGTAAAGTTAAATTTTGTGATTGAAAAGCGAGATAAAAATTTTGAAAATATTGGTTTAAAAGCTAAATTTATATATGAATAATATCATCAATGTATATTGTTGTAATATCGACTACTTTGCCTTTACTTCCGATCATCATCATCTTCCGCCCTTTACTTCTCCGCTATTCATTTTCAATACTTAAATAATTTCATTAAAAATTAATTCCTTTATTATCCATTTCTTCACTACCGAATATAAATCGTAATGTGTACCAAAGATTACAGTAGCAACTATCAAATTAATTTAATTGATTTTATTTTATCTGTATTGATAAATAGGTAAATTTCTAATTATTGTCCTAGTAATTAGAATTGAAAAAAAAAACATCCCTTTTTTCTTCCTTATCTTTTTCTCATTTCGACATACTTTTTTCTTTCCTCTCTTATTTTTTTTTTCGCAATCCGTTCAATTATTAATTACTTTGATGATTAAATGAAAATGAAAAACTTACAAACGCTGGCGATGCCCGCAATAGCTGAATAATGAAAGCATAACGTGAACATTTTCAAGCCAGAGGATATGAAAAATTAACGAAATCGTCCTTCTTTTCTTTCTTTTTTGAAATTTAAACAAATTTCAAAATTTAGAATAATAAATTAATCGTTCATAATTTGGTAAATGAAAATATCCTCTTTTTTTTTTTCTTCAGAATAGTTTGTAGCAAATAAAAATACTAATAGAATATGAAATAAAAATGTAATAACGATGATAGCAATGATGTTTGTTGAGGAGGTGAAGGAGAAAAAGATGGAAAACGATATCATCTGAATAAATATTTATCAGGGAATGTTTGTTTCCAATTTATACCTGTATTAGGTATCATATCTGAATAGCCATCTTTTTTGGTCATCCTTTTTTCCGTATAATATTAGATGCATATTGTTAGGTATTGAATAAGTATTGACTTTGAAGGAAGTTTTCTTTTTAAAGCAAAACAAAAAAAAAAAAAATGGAAGAAACTATGGATAATGGAACAACTGATTGATTATTGAGTAAAGGAAATGAAGAAAACGGATTGTTTAACGGTATGAGAATGGGCGGGGGAAGATGAAGAAAGAAAAGCTAGCGAAAAAGATAATGAAAAATGTAAGAAATTGAAAAGAAAAATTGACGAACCATCAGGCTCATTTACCAACAACCACTCTTTTCCTACCTCATCCAAACATCACACGTTTTGGCTGGCTTATTGAAATTAAAAAAAAAAAAAAAAAAAAGTCATTTTTTTGAAGATCCGAAGATAGTAAATCGCAGAAAAGAAAGGAAAAAAATTTTTTTTTCTAATGAACAAAAATCATAGTTTAGTTAATCATCAATCACATTAAAGATAACTTTTCATAAATTTCCAACACACAAACAATTTCATTTTAAATCACTAAATTTGCTAATCATTACAATCACTATAATATTTCATTTCTTATCATTCATTTTCTCATCCTCAACGTTTTGTTTTATTTTTTCCTTCTTTTTTGTTTGTTTCATTAGCACTCATATCATTCATTTGATATAATATATCAGTCAGTGCAAAATGTAAATATCATTCTAAAAATGCAATTATTTTCCTTTTTTTTTTTTTGAAAGAAGTCTTTTTTTGAAATAAATTCTTTTTCCTCCCACTTTCTCTCCATAAGATAATTTCATTTTGAATGAT